AGTCGCCCTGGAAAGTGGAAAAAGAGCCCTGGAAAATGAAAAAGTAGCCCCCGAAATTTTGGGGGGGTTTGCAAAAAGAGCCCCGGAAAGAAAAAAATTAATTTTTTCACTGATGCCTACTCTCAATTATGAAATTACTTGTACTGTTATAAAACGAGTTGATTTAGTTTTAATATTGCTTTTTGCTTTATGCATACATTGACTACTTTGGTAGAGAGATATGTGGAGGGAAAGTTTGGTAGTGTGAAGGCATCTATTAAGGGAGTATATATATGCATGATATGTCAGTTCTGGAGTCTTTAAAAAAAGCAGAAAGTTAGAAGTAAGTATAGTAAAAGGAGTCTATAAAAAGGGATAAACTGAGCAGAATAAGAAAGTAGATATAGTGACTATGTCAGTATAATAATTGTTTGGTGCTAATGGTGATTTTGCAAATACAGACACGAATAGAAGACATACATGTGCTGATGTGATGGAGAAGTCAAAGGAGCAGGAACCGTGGTTCGGTATTGAGCAAGAGTATACTCTGCTGGACATTGATGGCCACCCTTTGGGATGGCCCAAGAACGGCTTCCCTGGACCACAGGGTATGATCTGTTCTAATTCTACATAAGTCATAATGCTACTATCAGAAGCCATAAGTCATGTGTGAGTCATCCTGGCCGTGAGTGGCGTTGGTGAGAACCATATCTAAATGACTGCATGTAGCAATGTCCATAAGGTAAACTGCATCATGAGACTAGCTGTGGTAGGTGCAGCAGTAGCTAGGGTACTGCATACACCATATTTTTTGCGTACAGATATTTTCGCGAATTCAGACTTGACCGACGGACAATTCGGTATGAATTTTTCGCGTGTTATTTTCGCGGTCGGGGATGCGTTCGGGGAAAATTAAACCACCGCGAAATATGCAGCGTATACAGTAAGTGGCACTGCTCTCTGATGTGAGCATATTCTGGCATTGCAGGCCCATACTATTGTGGTGTTGGTGCGGATAAGGTGAACGGGAGAGACATAGTGGAAGCTCACTACAGAGCCTGCTTGTTTGCCGGCATCAACATTTCTGGAACCAACGCTGAAGTGATGCCAGCTCAGGTGAGGGAACATTGAACACTCCCCAGCACTTGTTCTTGAGATCAAACTTGTGTAATGTCACTGTGCAGGAGCTGCACTGCTTTACTGATTACATCTTTACTGTAGTAAAACATACAGAGAGTGTATGCTTGCATTCACATAGGTAGATGTGCAGACTGTTGTTTGTTGCTGCACGAGTTAAGTCTGTGAGTAGTTACGATTAACATTCGAAGTCTGTTGTCAGTAATCCATTCTTTTGTTCTCACTCAACAGTGGGAGTACCAAGTAGGCCCCTGCGAGGGAATCGCGATGGGTGACCAGCTGTGGATGAGTCGATTCCTTCTCCACCGCGTTTCTGAGGACTTTGGAGTTGTTGCGTCTCTTGATCCGAAGCCGATGGAGGGAGATTGGAATGGAGCCGGGGCGCACACCAACTTCAGCACGCTTGATATGCGATTAGCTGGGGGCCTCAAGTAAGTCTGCTGGAGTAAGGCAAACGTTATTGCGGAAGCTTGATTGTTGGCCTAGCGTGGCGACAGTGTTAGTATTGCTGTGTCACGGCAGATCGATGTGATAAAAAACCTGTTGCCTTTGCCCTTGCCCTACCGTTTTGGGGTACTATCCATCAGAGAATGTGAAATTCATCAGACCTATCAGACCAAAGGTACTTTTGGGCAGGTCCGGCAGGTTCACTTTGTGGATCCAGTGTCCAAAACCTTTTCAGCAACTGGGCATTCAACGTTCATTACCAACTGTTGCATGTACGAAGAATCGGTACATCCTGTGCAAGTCTGAGAATAAACATATCTTGCATTCCCGTTTGCGTTTGAGGAAACGTGTGTAAATTCCATAGCAGCAAACTGCATGGCGTTGCTCTGTTAGATTATGATAATTCTAAAAAAGTTATTTGCCAACAGCACGGTTTCCTATCAGTCCAACGGCTCTAGTGCTTAAACCCATGCAGAGTTCATCATGCTATAACTCATTAAACTAAAAGCCTGAAGAAGTGTGCAAGTTGGAGAATAAAGACATCTTGCGTTCCCTGCTACTCATAAATTTCATGCCACAGAACTGGGTTCTTAGTTCGCTGGTTGGTAGTGTTTGGCCGATAGCTGGTTGCCACGTAAACACTGGTTTACGTAACCTGTACAGTATAAGTTCATACATTAACCTAGTAAGTACTTCTACACTGGTGTTGTGTGAGTTTCATTTAGGATTAGTGCTGTGTGGCATGTAAATTCCAGTGCAGAAAACTGGGTTGATATTTTTATGATAACTCTAAAAAAAGTTGTTTGCCGACTGCATAGTATCAGTCCAACGGCTCTAGTGCATAAACTCATGCAGAGTTTATTATTAGCTCATCTGACATAGTCAGATGCAGCTTGTAGAATCGCTTGATCGTCCGTCCGATCGTCCGATCGTCCGATCGTCCGATCGTCCGTCCGTCAACAGTTGGGCACAAATCTTAACCGCTCGACGTACGGTCACGATATTCGGCACATTGGGGGGGATCGTCAAAACGAGTTGGGATGTCGAAGCTGGGGGTCAAAGGTCAAAGGTCAAGAGGTGTAAAAGAAGGGGGAACATTCACTCCTTAACTTAAGGTATAGGGAGGAAATGCAGAATTGCGGCACAAATCTAAACGGCTCGACCTAGGCTCGTGATAGTTGGTGTATAGCATCATGGTAGGAAAAGCCATCACTGTGCCGAAATTGGAGGTCACAGGTCAAAGGTCAATGGGCACAGGGCAGATTTTAGACATTTTCTGAGGACATGGTCTGACGGAGCGATTGAAAAACTTTTTTGTTTCAGCGGTGACCTAGCATTTTTATGGCTTTATTGAAAGGACCATGAAATGTCCCTTCTGCTGACATGCGAAGAGTAAGTGTCGGATAACCTTTTGACCCTCAAGAGGAGGGTTAAACATGGATTTGTTGACTGTTAACGAAGGCCTGAACTGCTTTTGCTATTGTGGATGTGAGGCTACAGTTGCACAGTACAATTGCAAAGGCAAATGTTTGTTGAACAAGGTTTACGCTCCTTAAATCATATTATTTTCTAAAGCAGTCTCTGTATTAGCACACTGAGTAGCACCCTGTATTAGCACACTGTAATGAACCCTGACTGCTCGTGTGTGTAGGCAAAAACATGGGGGCAGCCCATTACGCATGCATGGGGGTGAACTGGCACTATTCTAATCATAATTATTCTAATCATAATAACCTGCAATGCAGATGTGTTAACTCACAGCTGAGCGAAATTCTCCTTGCCTGAATATACTCCTGCCCTGCCTGCAACTCAATGGAGTGAGGTTATCACGCACGAAGGGTGATCCCATCTTTGATTATTGATGACACTTGCACGCGCCATCTCGCGGCAACTGCTTTTGCTATTAGAGCATCCTTCACCCGCCCCCTCCCCCACTCTCCCCCCACCACCACCACTACGCTCGCGCTCGACACATATCCATGATAACATGTTAATATAGCGAAGTCACAACTGTATCTTTATTACTGTACTACCGGTATAGCAAAGCCTAGCTATCATAGATTTTAGATCTGTATTAGTAGTATCCTAGATATATGCTCTGAGCACGAACGCGGGGATGGGACGGTGCTCTTCATTCGTTTGCCAGTGAGTTTAGCATCAGAACACCTGCCGTCAGGTGAGCGCTGTCGCTCTGCGGCACTTGTGCTATAACTCTATTAAACTAAAAGCCTCTTTATTAAAATGCAGTCAAACATTAACACAGAGAAAACAGTCTCTTAGATTACGAAAAGACCTAAAATGTATTTTTTCATGATGAAAGGGAACATTTGGCGGAAGAAGTTGTGAGAATAAACAATTGCATAAAATTTCTAGTAAGACAGTTTTCAATTTTAATTTTGATTCTGCTCTGTTGTTACATTTCTACACTGCCTGTATGCCATATAGCTAACTAAGGCCAAAACTAAATATATGTGTGGTTACCGTTACATGCCGAAAAAAATAGGGTAGGTAGGTAGGGAAAGCATTTTATTTTCTTGAAATATTTTATTTACAAACCATGTCCGAAGGATGTGCGTTGTGCCATTTGAAGCAGGAACTGTCCAATTAATAAATTTTTTCATTTAAAAAAAAATATTTTTTTACTTTTTTTTTACTTAAAAGAAAATTTACAATAAAATGTTTAGGGTCGCTGGGAATAAATAGGGTCGGTCGGGAAACCGTAACCACACCTATATTTTGTTTTGGCCTAAACTAAGGCTTTTTGTGAGAAGGGTTTGGGTTAAGTTATTTGAATAACACATAAGGTCATATGTAGTACGGTACAGAAATTGTTGCTACAGTAGCAGTGAAGGAACTACCCAAGGCTGAAAAATCTTAAAAGGGTGCATTATACAGTCCAACTGGCATCTTGGGTTTTCATCTGCTAATTTCATAAGTAGGGCATGCCCCAGAAATATTTCTTCTCCTGGTCCGTGGTCGTGGAAGTTTCTGTGTCTGGTGCGATGGGCATATCAACAAGGTACAGCATAACTAGCGGAGTGTTATCTGAAACATATGATAAGTAGTTAGTCATAGTGATATCATGAGTCCAAAATGTTAACCTTTGAAGTGAAGTATCATGCAAATGTTATGACACATCAAACGTTTTGATAGTCATGGCAATTTTTCTGACAACCTCCCTCTCTCATAACAACATCTGTCGCAATCAGCAGCTTCATATACAGGCATTGACTATCGCCCACCCATCTTGTCATGTTGTGCCTGCACGTGAAGAAATAAATTTGCGACAGATGTTCACTGATGATCGTTTGCAGGGCCATCGAGGAAGCGATAGAGAAGCTGTCGCATCACCACGTGCGCCACATCAAGGCGTACGACCCGAAGGAGGGCAAGGACAACGAGCGCCGACTGACCGGTGCCCACGAGACGTCCAGCATCCACGACTTCAGTGCCGGCGTTGCTAACCGTGGCTGCAGCATCCGCATCCCGCGCAACGTGAGTGCCGCCGCGCACCCGTCGCGTTGTCGTTCGCCGCGCGGGAGTGGTTGTGTGTGCACGAGGGCCCACCCCTTCCTCTCTAGAATCTGTGTCACTCGCCCACCACTATTCATTGCGTAGCGTTGTCGTGTAGTTGTCGTGTGAATAACGTGTTCATGTTTTATTTACGGGGCTGTGGGTTGTTATCGTGCTCGAACGTCGAGGTTTCATTTATCGTAACTGCGTAGGAAGGTCGTGGTATCATTTTTCTCCTATCAACTCGGCCTTGCGAAACATTGTTTCCTGCCGTGATTCGTGCTGAAATGACTGTGTCTCTCACATGCAGGTGGTAGAGGATGGATGTGGATACCTAGAAGACAGAAGACCTTCATCAAACTGCGACCCGTACTCTGTGACTGAAGTGATTGTCCGCACGACGATTCTGAACGAGTAGATCACAGGTTGCCACCGAATCTTTCCATGGGGTGGTGTGACTGATGCAGACGTGTGTGAAGCCCTGCGCACACGTGAGTTATTTTACTCAAGTGAAATGACGCATGAGTCATTTTACTGACGTGTGCGGCAGATTTTCGTTGAGTAATTTAACGCATGCGTCATTTTACTCACGTGTGCGGCGGATTTTCGTTGAGTAATTTAACGCATGCGTCATTTTACTCACGTGTGCGGCGGATTTTCGTTGAGTAATTTGACTCGTACGTGCGTCATTTTACTCACGTGTGCGGCGGATTTTCGTTGAGTAATTTGACTCATGCGGCATTTTACTTGAGTAAAATAACTCACGTGTGCGCCGGGCTTTATGTGCGCACCACGTTTAAATGCATCGAGCTGCGAAATATAGTTGTTAATGTACTGCCTACAAGTGTGTTTGTGCGGTGTGTACATAGGTTTATGGTTAAATATCGTAGACTGCTCTCATACGTTGGTACATGTTGTGTAATGTGTGTAAATGATGGTTTAATATGTGTAAATCGTGAGGAAATTTCAATGCACATTAGATTGTAGTATATTCATGCGAATGCACAGTTGCATGTGCATTGCTATGTAAATAACATTTTCAATCTTTCACTGATGGAAATTAATAATAGGATATTAAATGTGATTGCCTCCATAGGGTTAACAAAATTAATTTAATACTGTACGTTTTCCCCAGCCCCATTTTGCATTGATGGCATTGGTTACAGTTTGATGTGTTTACTGATGTGAATAATAAATTATCGTTTGTTCATTGTTGTATTAGATCTGCCCAGAGACCTGTTGTGATAATTAGGATAATCCTGAAGTTGATGTTTTAGCAACACAGCTATATGCAGAGGAGTAGCACTCCGTAGTAGATCTTCGAACTGGGTTCTGCGAACACTGGTGGCCGGCTCAGGAGGTCACCCTCCCCTAACAGTTTTAAGTAAAACGGTCACTATCTATTACATCAATAGCTAATAAATACCTAAGGTATTTATTAGCTCTTGATTACATTCACATATTAAGTTTTCAAATGCATGTTGAAATAATATCTTTACTTTAGAATACTCAGCCTAATAGCACACATGTAATACATTCCTAAAAAAAGTATTTTTAATGCCGGTGAAAAGCGTTCTACCTACAACCACGTGTTTTTAGTGATTATATTTTGTCTTAGTCATACTGTGACGCGAATTCGTTATTGGTAATCTAATGGTGTATGTATTTTATGTAGTGTTTGAATTGGTATATTATATTTTGTTACGCAATTCATGAATCGTCGTGCGCTTGGACCTTGGACGCAATTATCTTATTAGATTAATATGTACACATTCCAATGTACGTTTAATTTCTGCATCGACCTATGGTGCTAACGCGTGAGTAAAAAAAAAACATTAAAACTTATGAGTAGTTGTGATTAATTAAGCCGCCCGATGATACCAGGTGCGCTTTATATGCAGTTGTCTTCTCGCAGCCGTTACTGTGACGAAATAAAGCCAATTGAATTATTTACGTCTACAGCTTTACGTGTTTCAATACTTCATCCCTCGTCGCTTCGTGGGCCTCTTTCACGGCAGGCATAATCGACCTGACAGAGTCGAGCTGATTGTATGAAATCAAGAGTACATAAAGCCCGGCCCACACGTGAGTTATTTTACTCAAGTCACTCACGTTGGCGGCGGATTTTCGTTGAGTAATTTGACTCCTGCGTCATTTTACTTGAGTAAAATAACTCACGTGTGCGCCGGGCTTACTAGACCCTATTAGTCTCTATTATGTACTCTTGATGACATGTAAACGTGACCGACATTTCACCTGAGATTTCAACATAATCGCGCTTACTACTGTCGACAGGTGAGGGACACGTGGAGGTTACTTTCTAGTGTTCCGCGTCGCAATCTTTACGGACGTTGGATATCTCGCACAGTTATGTTATCAGGAGCTTATAAATGGATTTATAAGCTTTTGATGTTATGTTGCCAGTTCGCCAGTTCGTTATCATATACCTGTACTAGAAAGAAAACGCCACTACTATCAAATTGATACGATATATATTTCATTCAGGTGTGATCGTCGGTAAGTTAAGCATCGCAGGACAGGGGGGAATCTAAACATAACTATTGAAATTTTGCAGGGGTGTTTTGGGTTAGATGTCAGACAAATAACACGCATTACTCTAAACGCAACTACACGCAGATCGCGAAATATACAGAAGTCAAGTCAGATAGTCTGAGTGGAAGGTCAGGGTTGCGTACGTATATAAATAGTCAGGCACGCTACAAGGTATTTAATCATCTTCAGCTTGGAATTTAGCTCGTCAAGGAAACCGTAGGTGGAGATTGTCGAGGTACTTATTTATCGATTTTTAACCACCGTATCTTTAGGGGTTAACTAGTTTTAGCGTCAAATGAACGCGAGCTACTTTCAGCGTAAGCAGAAATCCGGAACGCTCCATCGTTGCTCACGGTAACTGCGACACGCTCTGTACCCTTGACACACTTATAAATGACATAATTATTCCACGGCTGGTAGGCGATAAACAGCAAACCAGTTAATCGTTGATGTCTTGGGGCGTGCTTTACCATTCGTTGCGCTATACGCATTTCAAGATGTTCGAATGCGTAACAATTTGGAGAAAAAAATTATATATTAGACAATATGTTGAAATAAAAATATTAATTTTATTATATATTATAGAGACGTGCTTCCGTGCGCTTTGTGAAATATATATTTTCTAAGTACACGGGACTAGGTTGATTATATATATTATCACCATGAACTGTGATTACGAGGTAACTTTGTTGGGTGTAAATAATACGGTTCGAAATCTGGAACCTTTGATGCCTTCAAGTTTGGTCAGAATGCAGCGTCTATCTAAGATTCTAGCCAGTACGATCTGGTTTGAATTTCAGGTTGTTAGCGCCAACGGCGAAATATGTGGCTACTTTCAGGGAACATTCACTATTGAGCGATGGAAAAATAATGGCTTGTCCTCAAGGCAGCCACTCCTAAAAATTTAGATGCGGCAAACGTAGTTGCGTCTATTGAAGTATCGCGTGTGCTTGGAGAGGACATACATGCACGTAACTGCGGCTATCCCCCTTTTCCCGTGCCTATGTGGCGCATAGGGCGCGGTGCCTATCTCCGTTTCCTCAACCCGAGGCCACGCAGCTGCTTTCACAGTAAATACTACAGCCGGGGGAATTAGTCCAGCTGGTAGCACTGCGAGTTAACTGCGGTTATAGTTATACCGGCTATACCGGTTATAGTTGCGAATTATAGTGAAAAATAATTCTGTGTATGAGTTATACAGCACGCACATTCACCAAACGTTTATTTTTCTACACAGAAAAGATTTCATAAAACATGCAAGCTGCCACGTAACCTCGGCGCTTTGTAACGCAGGTGACGTCATTGCTGTGGCGAGTTTGTGGAATTGCTAAATGGCTCTCTCCGCGTTTCACGAACGCAGTTATAGACACACAAAATCCGGTCCGATGGCGCTCTATTGAAATATGTGAGCAGCGCTATAGCCTCGGAAAACCATGCACACGGTCTGAAAATCACATGAAGGAGGTCGGTCGAAGCCGAAATCAAAGCCGACGGACAAACCTGGTACACCATCAGGCAACTCGCTCAACATCGAGTCAGATGACGACTGACGAGGATTCATCAGTGGCCTATGCTCCACCCAAGAGCCACGGGTGTGACTGACTACTGCTATAGCCTAGCTCATTTCGTTTTACTGTAACAACAGTAACCAAGGCCGTACGCAGGAAATTTTCTGTAGGGGGCAAAGGTACTCCCCATGCCCCCTGTGCCCTAACGTTTCGCAATTTCACATTTCTTTATTTAAAGTGTAATATTTCTTTGATGATTTAAGATAACCTTTTGTCACATTTCTATTTTATTTCTAAAAGTGCACAGTATTTATCCCATTAAAAGGCATACTCTGAAAATCTCTAGGGGGGCAACTGCTTCTGCTGCCTCCCTGCTGCGCACGGCCCTGCCAGTAACATCGTAGACTGATTATGCTCCTGTCAGTTATGTAAATTAGATATCACGTGTATTATCGAAATTCTACATTAAAGATATGGAACACATGCCATGCAATAATCTACGTTACTCGACACACATGCACGCGCAAGCTATTGCGCGCGTACCCACGTACACATGTAAAAGCGCACAAACAACCATGCACGCACGCACGCATGCAATCAGGCACGCACGCACGTATGCAAGCAAACACGCACACACGCGTGCAAACGCAAGCACACAGACACGCACGAACACAGGCACGCACGCACGCACGCACGCACGCACGCACGCACGCACGCACACACGCACACACACACACACACACACACACACACACACACACACACACACCACACACACCACACACACACACACACACACACGCACGCACGCACGCACGTACGCACTCAGCAAGGCGGCCCGCACGTACACACGCACACAATGTTGTCTGAATTGTGTAACTATTGCAACATATAAAAGACCACCGATTAAAGTTGTTCACGTACTCCAGTGCTCAAGCAAAGTCATTCCTCGTTAGACGAGGCATACTGGGCGTGGCAGGTGATCCGGGTGCATCGTAGGGCAAAGTCATCGGTGCACTTTTATAATGAGTGGCGCATGGGGGGAGGTGATAAAATATGAGGATCCAGTAAATGTGGCGCAGAAAAGAACGTCTTCGTGATTACGGAATTTCACAGACATTTTCAATGTGTCTTCGCCAAAGAACGAAAATGGGGCGCTAACAAATATTCTCGTACGTGTTAGTTTTTTATCTCATTGCAAACACGCTAGATTTTCCGAGGATGCCTAGCAGAGCCTTCACATGGTTTACTAAAGTCGAGCACCTGGTACCGTCCCGCCATCTAGTGAACGTTTTTAACACAACACCGTAAGCAGCAAATGCGCCCTGCCAATGTTTTGTCGAAAACGTTCGCAAGATGGCGTAAACGTGCCACAGGGACGAAGTGGAGCTAAGCAATAGCCACCGATCTCTATACTGACTTAGATATACTGATCTTAGTATAGAGATCAGTGGCAATAGCAGACATGTGCCTAGGTCATATTCGAAAGCGGGGAAA